GCCTTTCATGAGCAAAGACCACTCACAGCTTTCCTTTCCTTTCCTTTGATAGCTGCCCCACTCTTGTGAACAATGTGGACTTTCATTTGTAGCCTGGTCTCTTCAAGGGAGAATTTTTACATAATGTACTTCTTTGCTTGGTAGAAAACCTATCCTAAATTTTCTTAAATTTATCCTTGGTCTCCAGTACATGAAGCACTGTGTTGATTGTAATTAAGATGGTGGGTTGCAGCAAAGATGACTACTGGAATAGATGGGGGCTCAAGCCTGCTGCTTAAAAGAGGAGAAATAGGACATTGTGGAGGATCTCAAATTTGATTGGCAAGATAATGGGCTGTGGAGGGAAGAGTCACACTCTGTTAATATGTCCTCTTGTTGTAAAGCAGGCAGCTGCTGTGTGCACCAGCTGCAATTTCTGAATGGCCTTTAATGGCAGTCCCAAAGAGGATGTCCCAAGGAAAGGCTTGGGGAAATTACTCTACAAAAAACAAATTGCTGGCTGGGGTTGAGTTGGAGAGGACACTGCAGCTGGACCTTCAGAAAAGGATAGTGTTGTTGCCCACTGTTGCTCTTTTGTTGACTATCTAAGGGCACAATCCTGCACCCTGCATCTATGATACACATAAGCCTATAAACTCAGAGGCTTATATGGATCCTATGCTTGGAACAGGGTGTGGTGGAGGTGATTTCTGTTTTTGGCCACCTTGGTAAAGCTCAGGGGGATGGAGACTGAGATGTTCATAATTGGCATATGTCTGTGGTCCCCTCCCTGCCCTCTTTCTCTCCCTCTGAAGCCCCCTGAGACCTTGAGGGAGCAACAGGTGCAGTCCTTTCTGCACTGGCTGTAAGGGAAGCTGGCCAGTGGCTTGTCCTTTGGCATCCCGGTTTCAGGATCACAAGCTCTTGGAGCTGAGACTCTAAGTAATCTTACGACCTCTGGAGATCAAAGAGCTCAATCAATGTCAGAAGGTCATAGGATTGCACCCATAAAACCCAGTTTGTAGAACTAGAGAAAATTATGTCACCACATTCATCTCATAATACTCTGGCATATAGCTTGGCTTCCTGAACAGTTATTTTAATATGGCACATGTATGGTACTGAGCATTTGCCAGGAGATTAGCAGTTTTAAGAAGCATCTCTGAATGGGCTCCAATATATATAGACCATCTTTATGATAATTCTCACAGATGAATCTTTTTTCCTATTCATTGCAGTATTTGGGTTGCTTGACAGTCTTCTTGAAACATCACCTTAGTGATCTGAATATTAATAGTAACCCTTTGTGCAGCTTGTGCTAATAGAAAATTCATTTTTGCATGTCTCTTCACCTTCTTAGCTGCTCCAAAGCATAATTAACATTGAAGCTAATCCCTTGACTGCCCTCAATGCACACTTCTTCCAAAAGGAGAGCCAAATTAGACTCTAAGGAAAATTAACTCTTCTATAAACTACGTCTGGTACGTTTCTCTGTCAAGCACTTTTCTTGTTTCCTTTTTCTAAGCATGTGTGTTGGCTAAATTTCCTTTCTGGGAACTTATACAAGCAATCAGTGAATGTGTGCCTCAAGTGCATTTTAATCTCTGGATAATAGTCCCTCAAGTCCCAATTCAAAACACAAAAGTATGATATTCAACCCATCTGTAGACTTGCTTTGGGGACAGAGGGAATCAGCATAGCTACCTCCCCCTGCCTCATTAGAAACTGGAGTAGATACAGACTTGGTCACAAAATGGAAAGTATTACTGCTTGGATAGGGGGGATCTTTGCTGGTGATCATCAGCTTTTTATGTTAAAATATACACTCTTGACTTGAATGATGGTACTTTGTGGAGCTTTTAAAACAGATAAAGATGTGGTGCTCCGGATGTTGTAGGGCTGCATTTCTTATCATCCATCATTAACTATGCTGGCTTGGCTGATGGGAGTTGCAGTCCACTGACATCAGGAAGGCCATGTACTCCATGTTTGCTTTAGAAGATTAAAGCTAGGAATGGGAAGAAAAGCATGATGATAAAGGATCCATGGTATAACCCCTATACTTCACCTGAACTTTTTCGTTCCAAGGGCACATTTAGGAATTCGAGACACTACTGTGGGCACCAACACAAAATGGCTCTCAGGAAGGATGTGGCGTGACAAGGTTTTTGGGACCTTACTAGGCAAAAGCAAGCTAAAGAGGTATGGGAGAGAGAAATATTGAGGCTGGAGGTGAGGTGGGAGAGCAATAGCAAGGCAAAAGGGCAGAGGGGAGAGAAAGGGCAAGGATGAAGAGGGAGGCTTGAAGGGGGAGAAACACCAAGGGAAAGAGATGCAGAGAAAAAGAGCAAAGCTAGTTTGGCAGGGGCGGGGAGGGAAACAGCAAGGCAAAGGTGTAGAGAAAGACCAAGACTAGAGGTCAAAATGGGAGAGTAGGAAGAATGCCCTAACAATTCCAGAGTTTTTAATCTTAAAAAAATGTCTGAATGGGGCAGGAAGAGCTCTGTGGATACTGTTGGAGGTTTATGCAGGCACCATCTTGGGAACCAGATACCATTGGTCATTTTTCATTTCATAACCTTTATTCTGATTCTTCTGCTATTACAATGTCTTTGTCAGGGAAATGGTGGGGGAAATGGCATTTTCTGTTATACAAGTTATTATGTTATGAACCACTGTGCTACCTTTACATTGAAGCATATGATAGATTGCATGGAATGATGATCACATCAAAAGGCACTGAGGCCTGTCGGTTCAAGTTGTAATTGATGGTATTTGCAAAAAAGACTAGTTTTTCCTTGATTACTGACAAGGCTGTAGTACGGTAGTAGCTTTTCCTCATTCCCACGGATTCAGGCCATGTGTATGCTTTGGAAGTACTTATATTTTTTACCATATCGCTAAATGATTAAAAAACTTAAATTGGACCTATGCAGTAGGCTTGAAAATGACTTTCCAAGATAGACATAGGTATAATTTTAAGACAGGAAATGTTCTTATTACTGTTATTTTGCCCACATCAATCTTAAATGTGCTTAGGACCAGCTGTGCAGGCTCTTTCAGGATCTTGGTCTCTTGAATAAAACTTCATTCATTCACAATTTAATCTATGTTGTCCTTATATCCTGAGGAGTAGTTCTATGGTTGAGGAGTTACATGTAGGACAGGGAAAAGATCTTGCCTAAAATTCTGGAGTCACCAGCTGTCAATGCATATTAAAACAAATAAAACATATATGATAGCAGCTTCTGGCATTGCTTTGATATTGTTCACGTACCTTATCCACAGCAAAGCAGTAAAAGACCTCTTCCCTTCTGTGTTATATATGCCAGTGTTAGATGGGGAATGCAAGTTTGTTAATGTTCTGTTTGAGTTCCAGTGTTTTGTGTGTGTAGCCTTTCAGCTGCTTTGGGTGAAATCTTGCACCTTATTCTTGTGCAGGGTCCTGGAGCATCCAAGCAGAGAGGGGAGGAAGAGTGATAGTCCTCCGAAGTCTGCTCTGGCCTGGCCTGACATTCTACCATGTTCCCAATACTAAGCAGCATGGTTATATCTACTTTGGCAATGGAGAGAAGAATATTGACCTGCCCTTCATGTTGTGAGGATCATAGAGAGGCTGAAAATGGAGGAAAGCTATTTACTACTTTTGTATGTGAAATAGTCTGTATAAATTGTGTTTTGATAAATCAAGGTGAAATTAGTCTACTTGTCAATGGCGCCTTATTTTAAAAATCTTTCAAGCAGACCTCTGATAATTCACCCTAATTTTTAATTGTGAATTTTCTGTGTGAATTTATGTTCCCTTCTATTCCAGTCATTCCTTTTGCATAGTAACTTGAAATAAGATAGCCTCCAGGGTAAGGCAGTAGGGAATCCTAATTTAATTGGGTACCACTGAGGCACATGAGCTTTGTTCATACATAAAATGAAATTACATTGTGCTGGAGATTGTCAAGCATCGTCCACAACTGTCTGTCATAAAACAGTTAAGATGGATTTGGTTTGTGACACTCTTTTCTGGCCTACAACGCTTTCTTTCTAAACACGTTTTTCCAAATTGCACAAACAAAACTAACTAGCAGCACAATTATACTTTATGTTCTTTGCTGTTACTTAAGTACAATTTGGCACAAGGCAGTTCAGCAGAGATAAAGTAATGAGCAACTGTTTTGCGCCTTATAAACATACATTATATCAGGTGACATAATCTTCCACACAAATTGCATAGGTTGGATTTGGCTTTGAAAGACCATGTGTGTGTAAAAATAAAAATGTATAGGCCCTTTCCAGATGGCTGTTTCAGAGCCTCTGAATCCTGTCATGGGACTTACTGTCTGACAGGCGATTCCTGAAACTCAGGGTAACTTCCAGTCTACAGTACTGCATAGGGAATAGTAATTGAAGAGAAGATGATTCCTACCACCTGCTGAGCCTGAGTGACAGGAACTGTTCCCAGGATATGTTAGACCATGAGCACTGTGATAGAGGAGGGAAAATTACCTTTGAATGCTGTCTTGCCTGCCTATTTTAGCTATTAACCATAGCTTAAAGTAGAGAAGGATAACATTGTGCTGGTAGATTCTAGCTGGTGGATCTGATGGTTTCTGCAGCCTCAAAAACTTTGAAGTCTACTGGCGGTTGCCTTAAGTAATGGCTTGCAAGAAATCAATCATTAAAGCCTGCCAGCAAGAACCAGCAGAAAGGATTGGGCAAGTTTTTCTATTTTTAAAGAAACCAGAACCTTTTCCAATTAGACATCTGGGTAGTCCACTGGACAGACAGCTACAACTATTTGATCCTTGTCTTCCCTCACTTCTGCTAAGGCATTATTCCACCAAGATCTTCTTATATCTGTCAAAACTTTTTTTGTTATAAGCATTCCTCCTGTTCCAGAGCATGCATTCTTCCTCGACACTAGCATTTTCACTCTAAGAGTCCACTTCTTAACTAGCAAATAATGCAGTTGCAGATCTCAGCTATTGCCACAATGTAGCACCACCATGATTAAAGAAAAAATCTGCTTGAACACTAAATATTCTTTATTGTTAAAAATGTTAGGATACAAATGGTACAAGTGAGAGTATCATTCATCTTAAACCATTAATTGATTTAACAAGAGCCAACAGATATCTCTTCCAGTAAATGATTATCTATTCCTTAGCCATTCAGCTGCTTCCAGGGAAAAAAGTTCTTTTGGCTTCTAGACTGTACAGGACATCAAAACACAATGGTGAACAAATTCTGAACCAGAGCAGGATGGTACAAACAGTTGCAATTTTTTTGTTAACATGACCCTGCCTCATTGGTAAAAACGAAGAGGTTTTGACCCATAGTTAATATTATCCCTAAGGATGGGGTGTGATACAGGCATGGGAACCTTGTCCCACCTTGGTCCCTTTTTATAGATGGGTTTCATAGATTTGATAGAATACCGGGTAAGGTACCTGTGAAGAGAAGAAGAAAAGCAAGGCATGAGTAAGACTGATAACTGAGAAAACGTCTGAGATACAGTAAGCAGGTCCAAATGATATTCAAGGTTCTTCAGCTTTGCTTGTGTATGAATAAGGACTGGGGCACTATAAAACATTCATTACAACAGTCTCCATTTTAATTTTAATCAATTTTGAAATACAAAATTTCGAACACTTTGGGATCAATGTGCCTCTTCTGTTATACAGTGGGTGCAATTAATTGGAGCTGCATATGCCTTGTCCTTCTCTTAATTCATAAGGACATTTGCAAGAGTCAAGCAAATGCAACTTGCTTCCTTTTTATTTCCCACTAGGTGCTGGGCATGCAGTCTTCCTGAATCACACCCACTCATCTTCTCCTAAATTTTATTTTATTTTAAACAACCCAGGTAAAGGCACAAGCGTTTAGCTTGTTCTGATTTTGACAGGCTACATCCGGGTGTCTGTTTATTTCTATTTCACTAAAGGCTAGATATAAATGAATTTGTTCTGTTTCATCTTTCTGGGAAGACACGAAGCACTTATGATGAGTCTTAAGTTGCAGGCGTGAGACAACTACACAAAGGCTAGATTCATTTGAGAGTCTCCAAAGGAATTAAGTCTATTTTCCTATGAAACTAGGTTAAGTTTTCTTTCTGCTTGGGAATAAGAAGTTGGCAGGAGCATTTATTTTCACACATGGCTACAAGAGACTGTAGTTATGTTTCTGTAGCATTCTATTTGGATTTGCTGGTGTTTGAAACAGAATCCTCTAAACAAAGAGGTGCTGGCAGTTGGGATTTTATTAAGCAGATGGTCCAACAAAATCATTAGATACTAACAGAACTGTTTTAAGCCTGTAGAGCTACTTAAGAGCTTAATGTTTGGAGTAACTGTGCAATTGTGGATTAGAATACTAGGCCATTCAAGTTTATTTGAGTATAGGATGAGTTAGGTTAACCTCTACACTCACATAAAATATAGCATCTTATATGCATTGTGGTTCTGGCAGTGGCAATACCATTCCATTACATAACAGAGTCATGAAGGTAACAGGGTCTATGCATGCCTATAGAACATATAAGGTTTCCCCATGATAGTAAGCCCAGTCATGTTCACCTCTAGGGGGAAGTGCTCCTCTTCTTAGCCCAGGGAACCAGTGTTTGTCCGCAGACACTTTCTGTGGTCACGTGGCAGGCATGACCAAATGCTGAGGTGCATGGAACGCTGCTACCTTCCCACCAAAGTGGTACCTATTCATCAACTGCTAAATGGCTTGGGACTTGGATATCTAAAGGAACGCTTGTGTCCATATATGCCCTCCCGCCCCTTGAGATCAGCAACAGATGCCCTTCTCCGGGAACCCTCTTTGAAAGAGGCCAGGAGACAGAGCACTCAGAGGAGGGCTTTCTCTGTGGTGGTGCCCCATCTATGGAATGCGCTCCCCAGAGAGGTCCGCCTGGCGCCGTCGTTATTTGTTTTTCGGCGCCAGGCTAGGATCTTTTTATTTAAAACTTATTTTAATTGTTAAGTTATTTGTATTTATAGGATTTTAAATTTTTAGCTGAGATGCACCGGAGGTTTTTAAATAAATGTTTTATTGTTATATTGTTATTTATTTATGTATTTTGTTTCTGTTGTGAGCTGCCCCAAGGCTTTGTTGTGATGGGGGTGGCATAAAAATGTTTTAAATAAATAAATAATAAATAAATTGGCAGGAGCTGGGACAAAGCAGTAGGAGCTCACCCTGTCACACAGATTCGGACTGCCAGCCTTTTCATTGACAAGCCCAGCAGCTCAGCGGTTTAAACCACTGCACCACTTGCAGCCCTATAGAATATACAACTGGGCTGTAATTATATATGAGCCAATGTGGTGCAGTGGTTAAGACCATGGAACTGGGACTTGGGTTATCTGGGTTCTAATCTCTGCTTAGCCATGGAGCCAAACAGGTGACTTTGGGCCAGTCACAGACACTTGACCCAACTGTGGTTGAAGCCCCATCGGTGAGAGTGTTCAAGGACAGGCTGGACATGCACATGGTAGGCGTGTCATGAATGGAGCCGGCTGGAGCCAGGGGTCAGACTAGATGGCCCAGGAGGCCGCTTCTGACTTGCTCTGTTTCTGCTTCTTTGTTTCAATCTTTATCGCAGGTTCAATCTTTCCCTTCTGCACTCAGGTTTCTGTCAGTGTCTCTCTCTCACACCCATGTAATACTTGACAATATTAGTTTTTGACTCTCCCTAGTCACCAACATGTCCTCCAAGTAGCTGACTTCCTTCCCTTTTCTTTTGCATCTTAAATAACTTTCACAGCACTCTTTGAGATTCTAATGAGAAGGCTGCCTCTTCAGATTCCGCACTGCTGTTAACTGCTGACTGACTGAAGCTGTCTATTCCTATCTCCTTGCACAATTCCATGCTCTGCTCCTACACTCTGTCACCTATCACCTCAGTCACTCATCCTCTTTTATCTCCTTGCCATCTGAAATTTACCAACATTTAAATGCACACAGTCTCATAACACTTTTAACCATTACAGTTTGTATTGAAATTTTATCTAAATTGCTTTCCTAGGTGCAATTGTTTGTATGATTTAAGACAAAAGTGGGCAAATATAGGAGGTGTTGGAAAATACTTTTCCTTTTAGGTTCCATGCTACAGTCCACAGCGAGAGTTAACCATTTTAAAAATTGCTAGTTTGTTGCTGAAATTTGCCAGCTTAAGTTTAGACTCTTTTTGCGCCTTGAGGCTGGTATGGAACGCCATTTTGTTAACAGAAAGTTTTTAAAAGTTCAGTGGTATAGCAGGGGGCATATTTGCTTTGTATGCTGCCTACCCTGGTTTAGTATAAACTTTTACTTTATTAAATAAATAGCAACGATCACTGTACTGCTGTAAATTGTCTGATACATTAAGGAAGAGAGGACCTCTTGCCAGTGTCTAAACTGATGATTTCAAGATTATCTTGTGTCAGTGGTTTAAAAAAAAATATTCAAGAATAAGTCTTCCCATAAAGATCTAGCCTAGACAATTTATTATATAGCAAACACCACATTTTAAATCTTTTTGAACAAGGATGAATAATATATGTTTTATAAATGCTTTTCTACCAAGGATATGAAAATGTGGCAAAGCTATTACTATTACTCTCATGACATGACTCCGAGAAAAAGGTCATTTAATAATTGTTTAGTGAAAATATGCAGTATACGCCAGTTTCCGAAAGAAGAAAGCAAAACATGGGTTCATGGTATGGGAATCAACCTGATGAGTAGTTACTTATATAGGCCTCTGGTGGCATGTTCCAGTTAAGAATGCCTTGAAATATTAACTTGATTTTCTCACAACTCAGCTTTAGATGTTAAATTTAGATATCATTATATTTAACTGCTATGGGATTTTTTCCTCCAGAATTTTCAATGTAGTGCACTTTAAAAAGTTCTCAAAATCATCAAAATAGAACTAAATAAGAAAACAAGGTAGTTTGCCCTTCAACTATTTAGTCAAAATAGATGAACTCTAATGAAAAAGCAGAAGTAGGAGAATAAGCTAGCAGATAATGCAAAATGTATGTTCTTAGAAAAAAAAACTTGTGGGAGTTGCTTTCAGTTTCATGTGGGACTATTCTTTTGATATGATTTTTATAACTATAAAAATCAATATTACAATTATTCTGCCTTGGTGACATGCACTTTACCACATTTATTATTATTTTTATTACTATTATAACATTTTTATTATAACATTTCTATTCTATTAATTTATCATTTTGGTAGTGATTTATTTTATCAGCATGTTGATGAAGAGATAATATCTTCAAGTACTTTTGCTCTAAAACTCGAGCAAGTGAGGAGGGAAGAGGCTAGGTTCCTCCAGAGAGCCTTGCAAAAAATGTAAGCTGTACTAATTGAGAGCACAGTACAAATCACACCAGTATTCTTGGTTTAATCCAAATTTGAAACAAACTGGACTGCTGCTTCTTTAACTCTACCATGTTGAGTGCTGAGCGATAACACAGTCTTATGACCCCAGCATGCCCTTTCCATTCCTGTGTTTTGGTCACCCCTTCTTTGTTGCACCATGTGCAAATTTAGATGTTAAATGCTGTGGGCAGAGCCTTGTGTAATTTATTTGCTCAGTGGAGTGTCTAGCATGCATTTGGGGCCTGTAAAATGGTAATGAAATCTCAACAGTACCTTGCAGTTATGGAACATATGAAAACCTCTCACATTAATCCAGCATTTTTCACAATGAAGGATCCCAAAGAGCTTGTCAAAGCAAGTGAGAAAACAGATTGTGTTCAGGGCTGCTGGCTGCAGAAACAAAGCAGTCTCGGACGTGAAGCTGAGCAGTAGCTCTATATCCTAAGCACACAGCAGCAGTTAGCATGACGACTTTGGTTGTGTGCAAGCCACTTCTGGTGCAAGTTGAAAATCTGGGCTCCAAGGAATTGGGAGAAGATATGCTCCCCATATAAGGAACACTAGTAAAGATATATTTTTGGTTAGTATAATACATTAATATGAATGAACTCTGGTGTTTTATCTGGGACAACAGAAGGTTCACTCTAGGAGGGACAGCTAGAATTAACACTACTTAGTACTGGAAATGTTTTATCGGGATTTTATTAGAAGACAAATCTGTTCTGAGTGTTAAACGTTCATTTGTAAATGCAACGGAGAAACTCCCTGTTTACAGAAAACTGGAAAAAGACCCTGCTGCAGTGTATTCAACCACACCAAATAAATTTAATATGCATTTAATGCGGATGAAGGGATGAGGGAGGCTCCTTCGATTAAATGTTCTCACTAAAAAGGGAAACGAGGAGTTGCATGCACAATGAAAGGTACATGTTTAGAAGTCAGTGGCTTAAGACATCTTTTCCTTTTCAATTAGGAACTTAGAGGGACAACACTCGAATTTGGGGAAGGAAAAGAGATTTTTCAAAGGCCAGGTTTTAAAACTTTCAATATTTTTCTTAAGCAGGTTAAT